CTGCATGCAGGGTACTGCTTAAGAGCAGTAAACAAGGTAACAGGTCCACATGCATGGAATTTATACCTAGGTGGGGACAGACACATGACATCCAGGCAAATGATAAAGGTAGTAGAATGACGTGGGGCAGGCTAAAGGTGGCATCCAAGAAGCCACAGAGACCAAGTATAGGGCTTTGCAGGCCATCCCAAGCTTGCAGTATTCCAGGTGTAATGAAAAGTCAATAGAGGATATTATCAGAGAGGTGGTACCACTGACTTAATTTTTAAAAGATCCTTGGGGCAGTTCTGCAGCTAGTATACATAATCTCATTTAATTTTTAAACCGCTTTATGTAGTAGTTTGCTTTTATTCTTATTTACAGATGAGGAGTGTCCGTTTCTTCCTGCCTAGGATCAGGGCCCCAAGACACTGTACACCGCCTTTCACCCATCCAAGAATACAGCCAAATCTGGCCAGCTCACCAGGTCCTGCTGGGGGAAAGGGAGAGGTAGGAATGGCAATGGGAAAGTTAGTCTGCTCTTCCTCTTTAAGGTGCTGTACTTTTCAGGGTCAGTGCCCAGGCCTCTGATTCCAGCCTGTCTCAGGGCTCAAATAGATCCTCTCACCCTGGGCCAGACTCATACTCCTTTCCACCATTCCCGTCATGCTCACCACATCGCCAGCTCTCCAAAGGAAACTTCCTCATTGAGCAGTCCCTTATTTCCAGAGTGATGCTGCCTCTGCAGTTAATATGCCCTCTCCAGATTGGACACAAATGCACGTGACTTACAATGGGGTATGGCCTGAAAAATCCTCATAGATTGAAAACATCATAACTCAAAAATGCACTGTAGGAGCCAGGCATGATGGCTCACACCTGTAATCCTAGCTACTTGTGAGGTGGAGATTGGATCAGTTTGAGGCCAGTGGTGGTGGGGTGGGGGGAAAATTGCGAGACTCCCGTCTCAACCAATGGCCAGGCAAGGTGGTGCACACCTGTCATCCCAGTTATGTGAGGATGATTGAGAAATTGAGGTCTACGCTGGCCCAGGCGTAAAACGAGGCCTTATCTCAGAATTAACTAAAGCAAAAAGGACTGGCAGTGTAGCTAAAGTGGTTGAGCGTGAGGTCCTGAGTTCAAACTCCCCACTACTTCCAAAAAAAAATACCAAACACCCCTGACGCACCAAATCCCCTTGCTTAGTAACACAGTCTACTTCAGGGTATCAGTGGTTCACCCTGTGATTATGTGGCCTTCTGCCCCTGCCCAGCATCACAAGCTCACACTGCCTCTTGCTAACCCAGAAAAAGAGCAAAATTCAAAATTCTGAGTATGGTTTGTATTGAATGTATATTGCTTTCAAGCCCTCATAAAGTCAAAAAAAAAAAACCCAAAATCCTAAATTAACCATTGTAAATTAGATAGTGTCTGTACTCCCAAAGTCCCCAGCAGGGGCAGTCTATGCAAACTGCTAGCTATTACCTTGGGGTTGCTGAGATTCTTAGAATCTCTCTCCCCTGCCCTTGGTCACTTTTTTAGGATTTGTTCTCCCTCCCCTCCTACCCAAACATCTGGTCAGCACTGAGTGTGGACAAATGGCCCATGCTAGCATTTCAGAAATAACGAAGTTCCTGGAGGTTGGCAGGGAATGGTCTGCTCCTGAATTCCTAGTAGGATCACAATAGAGTGAAAGGAACTGAGAGTGGGGCAGTGAAAAAGGTGGTGTGGTGTGCATGCTGATGTAGGATGGGGAATAGGTGTCCAGAAGAGAAACGGAGGCTAGGAAGGAAAATCAGGCTGTTCCCTTTCTGTATCAGCCTGTCCCCAGGATCAGAAACATGGGCAGAGTCCCTCTGGAGGTAGCCTCCCATCAGAAGACACGCAGGTGAACCAGTCAGCTGCACATACATGACTCTCCCCAAAGCAATGCAGCCAATGAAGGCAGTGAGGAGTGGCTGGTGATCTAGGTGCTGCTGGAAAAGTCCAGACCCCACAGTCTCTGAGTAGGAGTTCCTTTGCACAGAACAGGTGGGAATGTTGGGGAGGAAGCGGCTGGTCAACACTTAGGTTTTCAAAGAACCCAGGGCCACATTATGCCCACCCAGCCCCTTGGCGGAGTGGGTGGAGGTGACTTGTGTGAGCCCCTACAGCTCCACCACACCACAGAGCCAGGAGACACAAATGGTTCCCTCCCAAGCCTTACCTGCTCTGCCCAGTAACACACTCACTCAGGCCTCAACAATAACCTACACATATTGCTCAGTGCAATATGTAGTAGTAGTAGTGCATGCTAGTCACTACTCAGAACACACAGTGGCCCCTACACACACACACACACACACACACACACACACACACACACACACACACACACACACACAGACTCAGTCCACTCCCTTCCCTGCTCACCCTCCCACCCCCCAACATACAGCTTCCAGGGGCTGCTGGAGACCCTCAGCCAGGACACTCTCTTCACTCTCTTCCCCCATTACTCGGTGGCAGTGATGTGCTGCCAGCTGGGTCCTTCACCTGCAGGTGACTACTGTTTGTTTAGTTGGTTGCAGGTCCCTAGAGCTATGAGCCAGGGAGCCTAGAGCCTCAAGAAGAGCAGGGAGTGGCTATACTAGTCCTCAGGGGACCTGTGAAAGTTGGGTAGAGGGAAGCCCTGGGCTCCCTGTCCTCTGTCCTGCTATACCCAGCTTCTAGGAAGACAGCCCCTCCTGTCACACTCAGAGGGCTTTGGAAGATACATAGCAGAGGACCTGGAGAAGGGCCCCAGCCACACTGGTGAACCGTAGACGTGACCCCGGCAGGGCTAGAAAGGGTCCTGAGGCAGCCTGTGATCATGGCCTCACACACAGCACACAGCAGAGACTGCTGCCCAGTGGAGCACTTTTCCTGCCCCAATACCCCTCAGAGGACACTTACCATCCTCCAAGCCTGGCCAGTCTCTCTGCACCTGTGCCTACTCTTTGTGAGAAGGTCCCACCAAGCACCCAAATCCAGAGGACTCTTTGGACCTTCCCAGATGCAACTCCCCCTGCCCAGATCTCCTGGGTTGAAGCCCTCAGGCTTCAGCAATTTCAGGATCATGTGTTACCTAGACCTGGGAAAAGCAATGAGAACACAGGACTCAGGCCAGTCAGAGCCTGGGGGCTGAGGATTCTGGCGTCTAGGCTTGTTCAGCAGGTCTGGGCCGTGCCCCACACCCATTTCCCCACACAGCAGCAGGCCCAGGGTCCACAGAATACCACCAGGCAGAGCCTCCAGACCAACTTCTGTGGAGCCAAGGGTCAAGCCACAAGCCAGACCATCCACCTATCAGGCACCAAACCCATGCCCAGAATAATTTGGCATTTTGGCCAGCAGCTTTCTTTTCCTCCCTGCTCTTCTAGGAACCATGCTAGTTCTCAAGTTGGAAGAGCACAGCCTTATAACCTGGGGCGGGGGTGGGGCAAACACCACCCTCACGGACAACACAAACCTAGCTCTTCCCAGGGATGGCTGGTGCCAGAAAAAAACTCAGAGACACTGAAAAATAAAGAGGCAGACCCTTAAGATAACCCAAACAGTGAGTCCCCAGAGGAGTTCTGGCTCCATCTGAAGGCAGGAGAGGCCAGAAGCCACACCAATCCTCCTGGCCTCTTCTAAGTGTCTGTTTCCTCCTGCCTAGGAGGTGTTGAAGGATTCAGGTCCCAGGATCCAATCTCTATGCCCATCCTAGGGCACAACCAGTCCTGGCCAGCTCACCTGGCATAGCTGGGCTGTCAGTCCAGCTGTTGCAAAAAAAAGAACATTTTCTTTCCACTCTATTTGGATAGCAGCAGGTACAGTGGTATCGACAAAAGAACACTGGGTCATTGGGGTGGGGGTGCAGAGAACGGGACTGCAAAGCCTTTGAGGTGTGGGCCAGGCCCAGAGTTGGGGGTCCCTGGAAGGGGGGTTGGCTGAATGAGGTGGGAAGGGGCTTAGGGGCCAGCCGGCAGGGCTCAGGGAAGAGCTATGTTCAGTTAGTCTGCCTCCTGAGCATTGCACAGAGTGGTGGCCAGAGGGACTCTGGAAGCAGTACTGGTCTAGGAGGAAGGACCAGAAGCTCAAGGGCAAGGGAAGAAAAACAATTCCCTTTTTTATGGAATTTGTTCAGTTAAAGGGTGGGGCCAAGGACCAGCTTCTCAAGCCCAGCCCCAAACTCTACCAGGCCTCATCCCAGACAGATCTCACAGCCCCCTCCTTGGCTGGTGCAGGCCTAGTAGGAAGGGCCCAAGGGGAGGAAGGCAACAGCAACAGGCAAGGGTACGGAACCATCCCCTTCCCACCCCAAGGGGCAGGAAGTGAACTGTGGGGTCAAGACCAACACTTCTGCCCATCCTCCCACTCTCTCTTCCTCTTAATAATCTCTCACCCACCCCTCTCTTCCCACTTCCTGTCCCCTTCCCAGCCATCCCATCCGGGTGTCTCCTGGTCTCCATCTCCACCTTCTGCTGCCTCCCTACCCCCACCCTGATTATGTAAGGGGCCTGAGAACACACAGAGGGAGCTTTGTTGTCAAACCAAATCCATACGGAGCCGGAATCGGCCAACGCAGCTGTTCCCCATTCCCTCTGCCTTGGCAGGGTTGAGACTCCGGGCAGGAAGCCCCTACACGCCTCCATTTGCGGAGACAGGGGACAAACACTGGCCCCAGGGTCCCCAGGCAGCTGAATGGGTGGCCAGGGATCAGTTACCACTGCATTGGACCACAGCAAGGAACCAGCTGGCCTCTAAGACAGAACAAAAGCCACAGTGCAAGGCCAGGGTCACAAAGACCACAGAGAGTAAACTCTAGGCCAGAGGCAGGCAACACAGTGCCAGACTCTGAGGGAGAAGGTGCAGATCCACACAAGTACACCCTGTATTCTATCCACATACAGATGCATGCATATACACACATAAAACCTATGCACACACTCATCTGCAAGTTTACGCACACCCACACTCATAAATACATGCACCAGCCCAAGCACAACAGGTGTGCTCACCTGGCAGGGGTCTGAGCAGAAATCTCTTCTCTGCTCGGGCCAGTTCTCTCCATCCTAGCAGGTACCTCTGGGGAAAAGAGCTGGAGCTCTGGAGAGCAGAGGGTGTAGGGAAGGTCAGAGGTCAAGGAAGCTCCTTCCAACAGCCCTTCTCGGAGACCCTCAGGCCGAAGAAGGATGAGATCCCGACTACCTGCCCAAGAAGATGTCCCTGGGTGAGGGACCAGGGAGCAGTGTTAAAAATCAAAGGATTGAATACTTTAGGCAGGCAACTATCTCTTTACCCACCCAACTGCGGGGACAGCCATTTTCACTCAAAAATACCAGAGCTGCTGACATTTGGGGCTTCCTTTGGGCTCCCAATGAAGGTTCTCCTGAACATCCCTGGCCCTCAAGGGAACCCAATCCAGCCCTTCCCTATGAGGACAACCTGAATGATGAGGCCTTGGGGAGGGAGGGAGCAGAGGCTCAAATGGAAGGAAAGGAAAATGTATGGGAAGGGGGGGAGGAATCGAAGGAAGAAAAGGAAGAAGAGAAGGAAGAGAAGAAGAGGAAAAGAGGCAAAGGAAGAAGGAAGACAGAAGAAGCAGCAGCCAAAAAAGGGGCAAGAATGAGAAGGACAGTAAGCCAGGAGAGAAGGGCCCCTACTACCTGTGAGTAGTGATCCTGGAGCATCAAGAAGAGCAGGGAGTAGCTCCATCAACATAACCTCTTCTCCCAGCCCCTCAGATCTGACCCACTCAGATAGACACAGCCAGTCCAATCTAGTCCAGCACACTAGGGATTTCCAGACCAGTACTCTTAGCCCACCCAGTCCTAGGGGCCCACCATGCTCCATGGTGGAGGGGTTCAGCCCCAACAAGCCAGAGCCTAGAGAACAGACAGATTAAATGAAAAAGACATGAGACAGGGGGTCAGGATCAATCAGGGTCACTCCAAGGCTTAGCCCAATAAGGCAGTGCCCTGCTTCCTCCCTGCCTGGGGACAGAAACACTCTGTGACCTTGATCAAGTTAGTGACTTCTTGGAGCGTTGCTCTATCATTTGCAAAAAGAAGTATTTTTGGAGCAGCTACTGAGTGCCAGCATGGTACTAGGTGTGGGAATACAATGATGAATGTAACAGTTGTGGATCCTGTCTGGCAGGGTCCAGTAAGTTATTTTTGATGCCTAAGAGGTCTCCCTGCTTGAAAACTGTGGACCACAACCCCCTGTGGTGGGGCAGATACTACAATATATACTCCACGAAGGGATGTGCTGATTGTGAACCAATCAAGCCTGAGGCCTGAAATCAGGGGGCTGGACAGACAGGACGCGGAAGGTACTCTTTTTTTCCCTGGGCCATAAAGTAGACCAGCTTAATTCTCTGGGCCTCACCCAGGAATAGCAAGAGAACAGTAAGCTTTTATGGAGTACTATATTCTAGGCACTGAATGTTATTTGAAATACTATCTCTTTAAAAATTCTGTTAATTTCTAGGAGGAATAAACAAAGCTATCAAAGACCAGCTGGCAAAGGGACAGACTAAAAGCCTACATCCTGCCTTCAGGGATATAAATCTCCTGGTTCCACACCTTCCCCTTGGAGTGCTGCCCCAGGACCACCTGCTTGCCTTTGGTTCAACTTGTTCCCAGGTGAGTTCTACTCTGGGCTCAGTGGCCCCATGGACCCCTCCATATCACAAGAATGAGACTTATGACGTGTGAAGAATGCAGGGGGAGTCAGGAAACTTTCACAAAACAGAGGCTTGAGGTGATGGCAATTGAGAATGGTCATTACCAAAGATGCCCAAGCATCTTGGGGGGGGACTGTGGGAGCAAAGGAGAAGCAGTGAGAATGTAGCGGCATGCTACCAGGAGAATGAATGGATCTGAATGGGGGCTTTGAAAAAAAAATTCTTTTTTAAGCTAAGTAAGCCCTCTTCCCCAGCTTCAAAAGAAATTTTAAGTGTAAAGGAGTATGCAGAAGGAGTAAAAGTGGACTCATTGAGGTTGAAGGAAATGAAGGTGCCACACAAGTGAGGGTTATACCCCTAGGGGTGCCTTTCTTGGGCTCCAAATAACTAGATGACTGACACAGGAAATAAGGTCAGAACCAGTCTGTGCAGGGACCTGAAGGTTACTAAAAAGGGGTAACAGCTGCAGAAATGCGACCAGCTGAGCCTGAGGTGGGAGGAAAGCTGCATGATCTCCTGCAGGGACAGCCTCCTGCTCAGTCCCATCTGGATTCCTGCCTGGCTCTCTGGTGTCTGAATAGAGACCCTGGAGGTGACAGCACAGGCTGGGTCCAGGTAGCTCTCTGGCAAACAGCTTACCTGACAGAAAGGAAGCTTTTTTCCCCCTTTGATCTCAGGAAAGGAGGAAGCAGGGACAGGAAGGACAGAGTAAGGACAAACGGAAAACCAATCTACATTTTCTAGTTATTCATCAAACAAATATTTATTGAGCACTTATTATTTGCTAGTCATCATTTCAGACATTAAGAATGTAGCAGTGAACAAAGCAGACAAGTTCCTGGAGCTTACATTAAAATCCTAAAAATGTCTGAGAGAAAAATGCCTTAAAATGTTCAGATCCATTCCATACCACACAACACGCCTTGCCCAATGTCTGCCTCTCTATACTGTCCCTGTCTCTGTCAAGGTCACTGGTATATGCTAGAAGATCTTCAATGACTATGACAGGCACAAGCATGCTCCTGAACCCTGCAGATGGCCATCCTGAGGACCTGCTGCCTCTCCCCCCACCTAGCCTCTGCAGAGTCTCAGGCAGGGGAACCAACAGTGTTAATGCATTGTAAGAAATACAAAAATTTTAAATCAAGGTGAAACGTGAACCTTCATCTCTCTCTGTGTTAACTAATAGTTCCATTCTCACAAGCCCAGAGTTCCCAGGATCTCTCCAGCTCTGCCACCAATAATTGCTAGTGTCACTACCCAACTAATGACTCTCACAGCAGGAACCAGGGCATGCTCCCATTGGCCCTGACTTCTCTCCTGCTAGACACCCCTCCTCCTGACAAGAGAAACCTCAAAGACATAAAGAGGACTGTGGGTGTGGAACCTGTTTGCAGGGCAGAGGGGGCTCTCTCACTGGATGGAAAAACGGGATCTTTGGGGAGCTTCTGTATCTTTCAGCCAGTCCACAACCAGGCAGCAAAGGCGCTCTACCTGGCAGGAATCTGAGGATGCCAAACACTGGGTGCAACCACCTTGGCCGGTCCCCATGCTCAAACCCCAGAAGAGCCCCTCCCTTTCCCCACGTGTCGCTGTGGTTGCCGGATGAGGCCTTGCAGCCATGTGGGCGGCCAGGGAGCCGCATTTCCAAAGGAATAGGAGCGGGCAGGCGGGGCAGATGGAAGCAATTACCGGCGGGGAAAGCAGGAGGTGGGGGCTGGGAGGGACCAGTAAGGGAAGGAGGGAAGCAGGGAGCGGGAGGCAGAAGGGAGAAGGACGGATGGCTGTGGGCCTGCCCCACTGACAGCGCTGACAAGCCAAGGCCTGGACTCCGGATTCTGCACTCAGGGGATGGGCAGAGAGAGATGTAGGTTCAGGGTAGCCCATGAACACCTGGGGTTGTATTCTGCCTTTGCCACTAATACATTGAAGCACCTTTTGAACCCAGGTCTCTTTCTTTTTCTATCACAGATGGGAGGGGTAAGACAAGCTCCAGTCTGGAGTCACAGTCAGAATAGGGCTGAAAAGTGCACTTTTAAAAACAGGCCTGGGTCTGAGTTTCAGCTAGGCTGCTTATGAGCAGTGTGACCTTGGCCTCTGTTTCTTCATTTATTAATGAGCTTAAGAAGAGGGTTCTGTGAGGTTTACATGAAGTGATGCAATAAGTGTCTAACACATCTTTTTCTTCTTTTAAAGTGTACTGGGCCAGGCTTTTAATAAGTGCTTGATTGGTACATGGTCACTTTTTGTATTTGCTAAGTCCTTTTTCTTTCTTCAGTGCTGGACACTGAACCCCAGGACCCCATGCACACCAGGTAAACGCTCTACCATTGAGCTATATCCTCAGCCCCTAAGACTGTTTCGTTATGACTTTCATTATGCTGCAAAGAGCAAAGGACACAGGACAGACTGTGGGCAGACCCTGGAGCTACTACAACCTGGAGGATTTGGGCCTACAGCAGACACACAGCCATGTGCTGGTCCAGCACTCTTCCAGCTGCTCCTGGGACCTTTCTAGCTGCCTCCCCTCAAACAGATCTGAGAGAAGCTGCTCTCCAGTTGCTCCTGGGCTTCTCCAGCCAGGCCTTCCTCACACACATGGCTTAGGAAGGAAACTGAGGGCCTAGCCAGCCCCACACCTCACCTCAGATAAGCAGCAGCACCCTGCTCCCTGCCAGGTATAGAGCAGAACCCTGGAGTCTAGAAAATCTCATCTTCCTTTTGCATTCGGCTTTGGGAGGGATGGACAGAGATGGAGCCGTGTCTATCAGTCCTGGGTCTCCTGGCCTCAAGTGAGGTACCAGCCAGGACTAAAGGAAAACCTGCACCTGCACATCCACAGCTTCCTCATCCTGAAAGCAACACTCAAGACAACTCCTTAGCGGAGTTCAGTACCTGACTGGGGCCTGGCATCACTTGCTGCTGCTCCCACTTGATGCTATATTTGACCGTGTCTTCCACCTGTATCACATACACACACACATCAGGAGTGTAGAAGGGGTAGGGGAGATTCTGAGGTCAGGGATGTGGACATTCAGAACACTCTATCAGAAGCACTGGGCACCTCTGGGAGGGGTGGAGGAAAGAGAAGGTAGAATAATGACTACACTCACCCAAATGACACCCTAGCCACTTCCTCACAGAAACCAAAAGCTTCCGGTCAAGGGCCTGGTCTTGAGGAGAAACGTGAATCCTGAGGGCCAGGAGAAACAGAAGCAGGAACTAAGCCGCAACACCAGCTTGCTGCAGGGAAATGTCTAACACACAGCACTGAGGGACTGAACAGTCAGGAAAGGGAAGCAAGTGCTGTGAGCTCAGGAACACTGCCACTCAATGTCCAAGGTCTACCTCCTAGGAGTTCTGCCTTGATCACAATATGTAGACTTGATCTTCAGACCCTACTAGGGCCTGACCTTCCTGTCAATCCTCTTCAGGCTCTCCACCCTCCCTTCATCTCTCCTCCTTTTCCCTCACCCAAAGGCCTGGAACCTGGTAGCATGCAACCCTTCGGTATCAGTTTGAGATAGAGTGACCCCCTCCTTAGGATGGATGGTGCAAACCTCCAGACATTGTGAAAAGTTCCCAACTCCATTGGGCAATCATTGGAGCATCAATTCTGAGAGAGACACAGAGGCCTGGAACGGCCCCCTTCGTGAGGGCAGATACCAGCCCAGGTGGGAAACTGCAGGATAGCCACAGCACAAGATGGAGCCCAGAGCTGTGTGTGCTGGCTCACACCTGTAATCCTAGCTACTTCAGAGGAGACTGGGAGGATTGCAGTTTGAGGCCAGCCCAAGCAAAAAGTTGGTGCCCCATCTTAAACAATAAAAACCTGGGTGCAGTAGGGCATGCCTGAAATCTCAGCTACTTAGGAAGCATAAACAGGAGGATGCCAGTCCAGGCTACTGGAGCATGAAAGTGAGACTTCATTAAAAAACAAAAAATAAAAAAAAAGCAAGGGTGGGGCACTGATGGCTCATGCCTGCCTGTAATCCTAATTAGTGGAGAAGTTAAGGCAAGAGTATCATATTTGGAGGCCAGCCCAAGAAAAAAGTCCATGAGACCCCCACCTCAAAAATAACCAGAGCAGAATGGACTGGAGGTGTGGCTCAAGTGGTAGAGTGCCTGCTTTGCAAGTACAAAGCCCTAAGTTCAAAACCCGGTCCCATCAGAGAAGAAAAAAAAACAGAAGGGAAAAAAGGGCAGGGTCATGACACAAGTGGTAGAGCACCTGCCTGGTAAGCCAAGGCCTTGAGTTCAAATCCCAGTAAAACACACACAAACACACACACACACACACACACACAAAACGTTGCCCAGAAAGGCAGTTGGTCTTTCTGCAACTCCCTGCCCGGGGAAGGAAGGTCCTTTCCAGGATTTCTCACAATTCCACAAAGGGCAGATTCATGGTTCTACCCAGAAATGAAAATCCTAGGAGTCTAAAACTGCTGGAGAGGTGCAGGGGCCAAGGCACTCTGCTTCAGAGGAGTGGGGCGTGAGTCACTGCTTTGGGGAAGGGAATGAGGTAGGAAAGGGAAGACACTCCAGAAGGCGCCAGGCAGGGGCTTCCTCTTCCAAGGCCCTCCAACCACGAGGAAGGGGATTCTTGCTGTCTTAAGCAGCAACCTTACTCCCAAGCTAAAAATGCCCACTCTGCCAAAAGTCCGAGCAGGTAACCTTTACTTGTTCTCCCCTTCCCCCAACAGTGTTGGGATCGAACCCAGGGTCTTGCACAATACTTGGCCAGCACTGTACCTTTGAGCCACACCCCTAGCCCCTAACCCCTAACTTGTCCTACCATCTACATCCCTGTCCTAACTTCTCTTGTCACCTTGGAGTCTGGCGGGATAGGATGCTGGCCCAAACTTCTAGCTGTCCCCTTGACTTCTTGGAAGAGTTCAAGGGACATTGAACAGCTCCCATCTGGTGCAACAGGAGAGGGTACCCAAGGGGCTCTCAGAGTTCAGGTAGCACTCAGAGTGCAGTAGGGGCAGGAAACAAGTCAGAGGAAGCTGGGCGAAGAGTGTTCCCAGACCAGCTCCCAGCAAAGTGAAATGGCTCCACGGCTAATTTCTAGGCCCCAAGAGCTGGCACCTCCCAGGTCTAACTCTAGAATTATAGGGCAGCTTTGGAGAATAAGTGCAAGAAATATTTCCAGCAGCAAACACTTACATAGCTCTTTCTCCTGGCAGGCACTTTTCTAAGTACTTAATACAGATCAACTTGTTTAAAACCCCATGAGCAAACACCAGGGCCAAGGCCTAAAGAAGCAGGGTAGGAGGGTGGGGTTTGTAGAACTGGCCCTGCACAGTGTCATTGGTTTGTGCCCCTTGTGACAATTCAACCTGTTAGAAGGCCCATTCCCAACCTTCCCCAAAGTCTGACTGAACTTGGCTTCCACATTGTGCTTCCCTCCAGTAGTAGACAGCACAGGCTTCCTGGGAGGTGGTGGTAGTGGGGAAGGTGCCAGCCTGTAGGTGGCCATGAGCTCAGATAGGGCACAGCTGGGCACCAGAACACTGTCTATATCCCCCCAATCTTTAGGCAGCAGGCCCCCAAGCCAGGCCCTGGGGTTCCCAGCCTTGGGAACAGAGGAAGCAGCAATAGAGCAAGCCTCACAGCCTGAACTATCCTCCCCCAAGGACTGGGAACCAAGAGGGCCATGCCGGCAGACACACTGGCAGCTCTTGGTTTGTCAGAGATCTCTGCCAACGGGGCCCCAGGAAAGCACCCAGAGAACACAGGTGGCCCATCGGCTCTGTCCCCCTGCCCCAGACCAACCTTCCCCAGCCCCATTCCTTCCCACTGCCCCACCACTGAGGCAGCTTCAAGGTACAGTGGCATAGGCCCAAAGACCCCCACAATGCTGCCCTGGTGCTCTGAGTATGGCCAGCCTCCAGCTGTCCACCTCACCTTTGGGCTTTGCTCTGAGACCTTGCACTCCTACACACTGACCCTGCAAACCCTGTCACCTTCAGCAAAGCCAGCCCACGTGTCCTGGACTTGGTGGGGACAGTTGTGGGAGAAACCACTGCTTAGAGGATGCTAGAGGTGGGGACGCCTCTTCAGCCCAGGCGCAGGGGTGGCGGGTAGAAACTTTCCAGAGAAGCGGACTGTCCTGTTTGCGCACTCCAAAGGAGAGAGGAGAATCGGTCTTCCCGCGAAAATCTGATCCAAGGAAAGGAACCCGGGGAAGCAGCTCCCAGGGCTGTGGCAGCCCCACCCGACCCCGAGCCGCGCTGCGCCCACGTGCCGGGCCCGTCCACCTCCCTGGGCCGCGGCAGGGGCCAGGCAGCCCCGGACCCCTCGGCGCTCCCCGCCCTCTGCCTGCTGGCCCCGGCCGGCGCCGCGTACTCACCCTCGCGGGTGGAGCGGGGCGGGGCAGGCCAGGTCCGCGCACAGCTCCGATCCGCTAGGCGCACCGACTGGCGGCGCAGCGCTGGCGCAGCGGCTTCGCTCCGCCCGGTCCCTGTCCCGGGCGCGGGGCCGGCCTGGGAGTGGGCAAGTCCGCCGGCTCCCCTTGTGCCCCGTCTGACGGGGAGGCGGGGGCCCGGGTCGGGCTGGGGGCGGGGAAGGGGCCGGACACGCTTGCGCACACAGCCGGGGAGCCAACTCCCGGGAGCTGCGCGGAGGAAGGGCGGGGTGAGGAGGAGGAAGGGCGGGGGCGATGCCGCGCGGGCGGGGCGGACGCCTGCAGCCGGCTTAGGATGGTGTGGAAGCCGCCGAGGCCGGGCGAGAGGCAGGCCAGGGCGCGCGAGTGCGGGAGGCGCGGAGGAGCGGGAAGAGCAAGCCGGCTGGGATGAGGGCAGAGCCAGGGCAGGCGCTGCCTGTGAGTGGCGCCAGGATGGGTATGTCCTCCCCACAAGCTCTCGGGAACAGGACACCCAAGAAAGGATTTTCTGCCCTCCCCCGAGGTGAACTGTGACCTTCCCAAACTGGAGAAACTGAGGCAAGAGGGAGGTCGGGCCTTGTTCTGGGAGGCCCACCCCCACTAGGCACTCAAGGCAGCCAGGTGTCCTGGACAGATTCCTGGGTCCTCTCTGTCCCAGTCCGGACTTAACGCCCTCAAACTGCTTCTTCTGCACCCCTCCCTTGCAAACCTATCTCCCTCCACCACCACCACCAAATAGCTTCTCATTTTCCGTTCTTATTGAAGACTTCAGGCATCCTGTCTCCAGGGGGAAACCCCATCAATTCTCTCACCCTGGTTTCTTGGGCCCTAGCATCCCTGACACAAACCTGGTGTCTGCCCAAACTGAAGAAGAACAGTGCAGAAATCACCCAACAGATTACAAGCCAGCAGTGTTTACTGAGCCTGTAGTGTGAGCAGCCCAGGGCTGGGGCCACCGGGGACTCCAAGATAAGTGCTAAACCCAGCCCCTGTCCCCAGGAAACTTACCATCCAGCTGCAGACAGAGGCTGGGACTGGACTCCCTTCAAAAATAAGGCAGGACAGGATATGACTAAGTGTAAAATGTGAGTAACTGGCAGTGAGTGAGGAGTTCCAGAAGAGCAGCAGATTAAAGTTCTCTTCACCCGAAGGTGGAAGGCTCATCTGTTGAGAACTCCTAGCTCCAGGAGCTCTGCACTACTGAAGTGAAGAGTCCTCCTCCAGGTTCTTCCACAGGTGGTTGTGTTTCATCCTAATAATCATACCTTGCATGGGCAGAGGTTGTCTGGCATCTTGCCAATGCCTAACCTAATTTTATTTGAGTGATGCCTTTGGCCTTGTCACATATTCATTCAACAAATATTTATTACATATCATGTTCAGCCGGAACTAAGCTAGGAATAGAGAACACAATGACTATGTCCCTGCCTTGGGCGAATCAAAAGGAAGAAGGAAGACCCTGTTTTACAGAAGGAAAGCTGGCCCAGGGAGAAAGGCAGCTGCCCTCAGTGACTAGGTGTGTCCGGCAATCCAAGAATTAGCCTGGCCTTTAAACTTGGCTAAGTCTTTGATGAACTAGGTCTAAACAGTTTGCACTTCTTGCTAAGAGCCATGTAAACTTCATTCTGCCAGAAAAGTTGAATTTAAGAACCAGCCTGGAGACCTGAGTTCCAACCCTGCCACTACACAGCTTTAGTTTTCTTACAAGGGGCTACTGTTGGTATTAAATGAGGCAGTGGATGTGAGCTTGTTCTGAGAGCATGCATGTTACATATAACTGTGCTATTACGAAGCAGGTGGAATACCTCTTTTAACTTACAAGCTGTATTCAGGTTCCCTCCCCGCCTGCCCCCGGCTTACTCCAGACCTGGGGACTGGATGCTCAGAAGCTAACAGTAATTTTCAGTTAACTAGTTAAAAAATTACAGGTTTAGCTCTTCTCTGGCTTAGGCTCCCATAGACCTCACTCCTTCCAGGCACTCATTACTTTTGTCATTGCCATGTAGTTAATGCCCATGTTCCTCCTGAAATTGTAAGTCCTAGGTGAGTCCTACTTGAGTCCAGGTTCTTAGGCTACAGTGTGCTTACTCATGACCTCTTCCCCTTCAGTTTCTTAACAGCACAGCCAGAAGGCCAGCTCACTCATCTGTAGGGCAGGAGTGATCCTGGCACTGGGCTCTGGAGCCCCTCCCAACTCCACTGCACCCCTTTGGAAAAACAGGTGTGAGTGCCACCCCCATTACTTTTCTCTGCCTCCCTTTTACCTCTCCCGTTTCTCCTATGGTAGATGAGGCAGGCCATCTCTCTGCTGGGGCAAGCAGAGGGGCCTCAGGTGGGGAGGAAGGAGACCTAGGGGACATGGTTGGGAGTAGGAGGAAGTAGGTGCATCCAGACCTGGGAAACCCTGGTCCTGCAGCTCCTCCCTGGCAGGCAGTGGGTATGGGCAGCAGCCCTGAAGCCTTTTGACAAATGCGCCTCTCAGGCTTCTGGCTCCTGTCCCTCACATGTGCCACGTTAACATCCTGCCCACCAACAGGAGGGAACAGCAAGATGCCGTTTGAGAAAGAAATAAATCCAATCCCGCATCTCAGACGCTTTTAAAAATAGCAATTCTAGGATGGTATTTCAGCTCCTATTTTTATCAGATTTATATGGCTGGACCCTGGAGCTGAGCTGTTCCCAGGGATCTCAATAGCAGGGGACATCACTGCTGTAGTGTTAGAAACCTGCCAGTAAGCCAAGGCTAAAATGTATTCCAGGAACCTTTTGGCTGGAAGAGATCCCAAGAAGTCACTGCACACAGCCCCTGCCTCTGTTTAGGGCCACAATCAATTTAACTATGGAAAATCTGTGGCTTGATTTTTCTTTAAAATTTCTGGGCTGCTATTCTCCACTGGCATAGTCTAGGATTTCATAGGCCTTTTAACCAAGAAGTTATTTTTAATATTATCTTAGTCCACTTTAGCTGCTATAACAAAATACCAGACTAGGTAGCTTTATAAATTGACATTTATTTCTCACAGTTCTAGAGGCTGAGAAGTCCAAGATCAAGGAACAAGCAGATCTGGTATCTGATGAGGGCCTGCTTTCTGGCTCATGCTTCCACCCACATGGTGGAAGGGGCAAGAGTCTCGGAGTCTCTTATATGGTACTAATCTCATTTATAAGGGTTCTACTGTCATGACTGAATCACTTCCCAAGGGCCCCACCTCTAATACTGTTACCTTGGGATATATATATATATATATATATATATATATATATATATATATATATATGACACAAACATTCATGCTATAGGAAATATCTAACCTAAAATATCTCTGATCTTATCCTTTTTGGTCACTCATGGCAAAAAATAGCTATTGTTTACTGAGTAATAGCACTGTGTCTACAAATCTTTTTTATTTAATCCTTACAAAATCACCTGGACTAGGCACTATTATCACTTGTATTTCATGAGCAGTTGTGTAACTTGCTCAAGACCATACTTTAATGCAGAATCTACGCTGGAGCCATCAGACCACTCTGCTTCCTAAGCACAGGAGTCATTGACTTCTCTACCCCATCCCCTCCACACATAACTTCTTCATTGTGCCAGGGGTCAAACCTAGGGCCTTGCACATGCTAGACAAGTACTCCACCACTGAGCTACACCCCTGGGTCACCATGTCATCATGGTTCTGAAGGAACACTGCCTAGGGTTCTTACTGTCTTTGTGTGTGCCCTGTGCTGAAAGCTTGGGTCTGAATCCTAGCCATACTGAACCCTGGTCTCCTTAACTTGGCCTTTGCTTATGTTTGCCATTTGGCTGGCGATGATCAGATTTTAGCAGAGAGAACAAAAGAGAAAATAGTGCATGATCTCATGTGGAATGGAAAAAAGTAGAATTCACAGAAATAGTTATGAGGGGCATGTTGGGGTGAACTGGGAAGATGGTCAAAGGGTACAAACTTTCACTTAGGCAGAAGGTTAAGTTCAGGAGACCTACTGTACAACATGGAACTATAATCAGTAACATTGTATTGCCCAGAGAGGTTTTAAATGTTCCCACCATAAAAATGATACATATTGTAATGTAATGTATGTTAATAATTTTGATTTAGCAATTCTGCAGTGTTACATACATTACCATCAATATATACAATTTTTATTTGTCAATTAAAATAAATTAACTAGTTAAAAAATTACAGGTTTAGCTCTTCTCTGTCTTAGGCTCCCATAGACTTCACTCCTCCAAGGCACTCATTACTTATGTCATTACTATGTAATTAATGCCCATGTTTCTCCTGAAATTATAAGATCTATGTGAGTCCTATTTGAATCCAGGTTCTTGAAAAAACAAAAAGTCAGTGTAGATACAAAAAACCTGCTTATTATATGAATTGAAATTGAAACACTTTAAACCAACTCAATTCCTGCTAACAGTGTTCACTTGGTAACTTCAAGTTGATATGAATTTCAGAATCCACTATAATTTCATTAATAATATTAGGGGTGCTTACATTTATTTTGTGAGGATACTTAAAAAACAACTACATTCTCACCATCTTAAAAAAGAAAGGACATTTTAACGTACATACATGTTTGAAATAAAGATAGTCCTTACTGGGCAGGAAGAATTAGCAGACCCACATGAATAAAACAGATATATAGCTAGCCTTCCATATACATGGGTTCCACATCTGTGGATTCAGCCAATCTCAGATTGAAAAGCATTGGGGAAAAAAAGGCTGGGGATATGGTTTAGTGGTAGTGCACTTGACTAGCATGACTGAGGTCCTGGGTTCAATACCCAGAAAGGTAGAAATAAATAAATAATATATATCTATATATGAAAAAGATGCCTTTATACTGAACATTTACTTTTTCTCAGCATTATTTCCTAAACAATATAAAATAAGAGTTATTTACATTATGTTAGGTATTGTAAGTTATCTAGAGGCAATTTAAAGTATTTAGAGGATGTGCATAAGTTATATGTAAATACTACATTCTTTTGTATAAGATATGTGAGCATCCAAGAGTTTGGCATGGTTTAGGAACCAAACTCCTATGGATACTGAGGGAAGCCTATAGTCAAATGTTTAGGATAGGAAGTATAAGAGAAACATTTTCAAATATTACATGTATGTAACTGTTTCTTAATTTGTTTCTCAATCTGGAGATCTTTATTCAATAGGACATACAAAACTGAGGAGTTTGAATATATTCTTTTTCTTGGTTTTGTGTTGACAAATAACAACTTCACTTTATTAGAAGCTTTGGGGCAAACAAAGAGAAACTAAAAAGTCCTGCTTCCAAATGGTTCTTTCCTTCCCCAGCAAGGCCAGGGGGAAGATAGGCCAAGTGTTGGGAACTAAGAGCTACTTGTGGAGGCATCCAGATTCTATCTGGGAGGGTGACATCTGCCACTGCTCCAGCAGAGCATGCACATGAGGTCACTCTCTCCAGCAGAGGATAATGGCATCACACTGCCAACAAGGGGCTGTGTTTGCTGTTTGTCAGGGTATGGCTGAGCATACTGTGTCCTGCTCAGGAAGCTCTCAGGAGAGGCAGGATGTTGGGCCCTGAAGTGAAAGCAGGAGGAAGGCACAAGGCAGAAAGGAGGTAGTCACTCTGCATCCCCTGGCCTGGGAATCAGGAGGCCTGGAGTTAGCACCCAGCTCCATTCCTCCATTCCCCATGTTTATGGAACACTTACTAGACCAGGCACTGCCCTAGATTCTGAGTAAAGGGTGAACAAAAGGCAGCAAGTCTCCGGCTTCCTGGAGCTAACATGCCTCCCACATTAGACAACACATCCTGAACCTGTTTCTTTATCTATAAAATGGAATGAGATGAGGATCCCATGAAATGATCTGTGATATAAATGTGAAATATTACATTGATTTGTCTTCAACTTTGCTTTGCAGACTCATACAGTATCCTAGGTGTTGGGGAGACAGAGATGGTTTAAAAAAACAAAAACAAAATCTTCCTCTCCTTAAGACCCTTTCAGTCCAACAGGGAAGGTAAAGAAGTCAACAGTTACAAGTAGGAATAAGAAGCCATACACATGAAGCTACCTGGACAAATCATGCAGGAGAGTCTGATAGGAAGGGTTATGCTATGAAGAAAGTATGGTGTTAGGATCTCGGTAATACTGGGCAGTGGCCAACCCTGGGTACCTCTGGCACGCAGCTGGGCTGCTTGGCAGGTACCTCAATGGGATGAAGCATTAGGGGTGATAAGAACAAGGAGGCTGGCTTCTAGGGAGAGAGCTGCCATCATGTTCTCTGGATGTGACAGCAGCAGAGGGCTGAGTGACTCTGGAGGGGACCCTCACCAAGCCTCAGGCAGAGACCGATCCTTCTAAGGAAACTAAGGAGAGAGGAGACCCCTCTGTGCTATTGGGAAGATAAAAGACTTGGCGGGGAGGGCTTGGGACACTATCCAAGAGAGGGCCCTCCTTGTAGAATGAGCCAAAAGGAAAACAGAATTGGCCAACATGTAGGGGAACCAGCAAGCTGGAAAGCTGTCCAAGGCATGGGTCTCTGTCTGACTAGAACTGTGCCCTGGGAAGGCACCCCCTGCCTCTCCAGATCATACTGCAGTCCTGGCTACTGTGACCACCACCCCCCACACACAATCCTGTTCCATCCCAGAGAATGAATGAGCTCTGTTCCACTTCTGCTGCTTCCCCACAGGTTTATGCATCCACCTATCAGATTCCTACCACCCATCCTCCACAGGCAAGGCACTGTGAGATGATGGCACTGGACACAAGGATCAGCTCGTGTAGGCAGCATTGTTGGAAGTAGAGGGAGCACGGTGACGCAGCAGAGGGGGGGTCTGTGTTCTGGAGGGAGGCCTCACTTGGCCCCTTTGCAGTGCTGGAATGTCTGCTTGTTAGGATCATCTACCTACAGCAGCAGGGGGTCAATTTTCTCCCCTTGTGCCTGGGAGAGGAACAACTGAGACCCAGGGAGCATCCCTGAAAACTGGAAACTGCTCTGGGAGACTACAGGTCAGCCTCCTGTTTCCTAATCCCCGGCAACAACACATGGTCCCGCCTACAAGAGTACCTGCTTTCTGTAGGGAAGCCCACCAGTGAGATATGCGGTGGCATTAATGGAGCTGGCCGACTCTGCATGTGAGATAGGCCCACCTACCTTGGCCACCACCTAAACAGTTTCTTCGCTGCAACTCTACACATCCTGTATGCTGGGACTCTTCCACCGCAGGGAAGGCTATGTTGGAGACCAATCACTGTCAAGCCTCACCTAGACTCTGGAGTAGTAGGCTTCTAACGACCCTCCACTTCTGTGCTCTTTTTTAGGGAGTTTCTTTTCTAGGGATCACGAGGGGCTAAGTGTCTCCCTGTAAGCTGTATGGGCCTGGAACAGGTACCAGGGCCACCAACTGAGGGCCTTACCACCTTTTAAGTAAATGGGCAGAGCTCTGAATCAAGGCTTCCTGGTTCCCAGGCCAGGGGATGCAGGGAGACAGCCACCCTTTTGCCTCACGACTTCCTCTTGCTGTCATTTCAGCGCCCAACATCCTCCCTCCCCCAAGAAAGCTTCCTGAGCAAGGCAAGATATGCTCAGCCATACCCTGACAAACAGCAGACACAGTTTCTTGCTGGCAGTGAGATGCTGTTGTCCTCTGTGCTAGAGTGTACCCACCCATCCGTGTGCGTGCTGTTCCTGCTCTGCTGGAGCGGTGGCACATGTCACCCTCCCAGATAGATCCCTACTGTCTTCATGGATGATCATCACCTGTCACTTTAAGGTCCCTTCCTGGCCTCAACTTGCTGACCACACCCAGAACCCAAGCACCCTCAGAGTTTTGTACTCAACTGCACTTGGATCATTTTGCTCTTGCTTATAACATTGTTTGTCCTTGACCCTCTGGCTGCTCCATGAGTCTGTTTTGTCTTCCTGCCTAGATAATAAACTCAAGGCCAGGGACTCACTGACCAAATAACAAAGGCAAGCAGGCTTTTGGGGCTTGCATCATCTAATTCTCCGTAATACCCTCCCACTTCCAGGCATCAATCCCCATCCTCCTCAAAGTTTATCAACAGGGCTGACGCACATACAGGGTGTGACCTCTCAGGGCTGGGGAGGAAAAGAAGAAGTACCATCTAAAACCTCTAAAGGCTATTTCTGGAAAGGTTTCTAATTTGGTTTTTTTGGGGATTTCCCCAAAGGAGAGTTAGGGGTGAGAAACCTGGCAGTAGAATAGGCAGGAGTGCAAAGGAGGTCAGTACAGACTTAGGCTGAGGAAACCAACATGAGTGAAAAGGATAGGAATGTGAAAAAAGCCCGTGGTACCTTTCCAGGAGACTGTTACTCGCCAGCGGTGGCAGCCACTTTTAAGATTTTCCACCCTTCTGCGAACCTTCCCACCAGTTCTGCCCAGCTGCCATCCCTCACCACCTGCCCGCCCAGGCCATGCCATCAGTTCTCACTGGTGAGCCTAGTACTTTATTCTCATATGAAGAAGAAGCCAGTACAAAATACATTTTAAAAAATTCCCTTGAAGATTAAAAACCTAGCCCCCCACACTATTCCAAACCCTGCACATCTGTGCCCTTCCCTCCACACATGCTCAGGGTCTCCTGCCCTCATGCAGTAGCCTGAGCAGGGGGTCATCAGCCCTGAGGGTGAAAGTAAGAGTGCGCTGCTGGTAGTGCTTGGGGTCATACTCCAAGTTTTCAATCACCTCCGCCAGCAGGTGGGCCCGCTCCACACTGGAGCCAGGGGCCTCGAAGCCCAAGGCGGTGAAGTGCACGTGCAGGTGGTAGTAGGAGGGTAGGTAGTGCAGGTACACTCGCAGGCGGTCTCCTTTCACCTGGTAGCGCTGCAAGATGGCTTCCTGATGAAGAAGAGGAGTGGCAAAGAATCATCATGTTGCCTGCAAGCCAGTGCCACATCCCCCACCCAGACCCTTTCCCTGCATTAACCCAGGCTAGCCTTTAGGACAGCTTACAAAATCCTCCAACTGGCTCTTTGCCCACTATTTGCTTCAGCTCCTTATCTTCCACTGTAGAAAATCAACGAATGCAGACACAGCAGCAAAGATGAGACATTCCCCTAACAGTAAGGGGTCCTAGCCTCAACCAGGGTTCCCTATTCCAACCTGGATAAAACATGGACTTCGTTTGAGAATCTAGAAAATCCCAGCAGCTAAGATTGGGCCCAGAGTTCCAAGACTGTGGCAACTGTCCTTCCCCTGGATACCTTACAAGCTCTTGATCAATCCTGACTAGGTGGGAGGAAGCCTCGCTTTCTCAGAAAGAGGCTTGGTAACAATGGTGATGGAGGTGCTAAGAACTTGGTGAAAGGGACACTATGGGTGAGTGAGCACAGGAAGGACTGTCCCCAGACCCACCTAGGGTGCCTCAGTCTGGCTCCTTGCAGAGGAAAGCATTTACTTTGTCCTGGCTCCTTTCACCCACCTCCACCTTCTCAGAAGGAGGTCATTTTCCACCAACACCACCCACCATTTTAGGAGCCCTCAAGGCTGAGAATTGAGGAGACACTAATCCTGACCCCTGAGGAGAGCAGAGGGAAAGAGAAAAGGACCAGGACCTCTGTGGGCTCAGAATACATCCCAGAGTTATACTCTGCCTTTGGGAAGCCTGCTAAGGATTATTACAGCAGGGTGAGACTAGGGCAAGGCATCTAAAGGGTTTCATGTGTTCAGCAGAGCTGACTGCCAGGGTGAGGATGCTGAAGTTGCCACGGCAGGTAAGTATGGGCCCAACACGTCCCCCAAAGAAAGACATCATTCTGAACCATAGGCAGTATCCAAAGGCTACTTCCGGATAGAAACAAGTTGCTCTAAAAAGGTAAAGGCAGTCAGAGATGAAGTGCTATGGGCAGATGGGGGTGGGAGTGAGAGATCAGGATATAGTGTCAGGGGAAGTGAGGTTCAGGCAGAACCCTAGTACTAGCTAGAAAGGGGCAGAACTTTCCCCTGGTTGGATGTGCTTGTGACTATTGGTTCTGGTTGGGGCAAGCGGGCACATTCACATATTTTAGAGTAGAAAAAAGGCTTGTAGAATGGTGGATTCATAAGGGATCCTGAGCAGACACTAAGACCCACACAGGTGAAGTGACCTACCAGAGGCCACTTGGCTACTTAGGGCCAAAACATCAGGTCAGGACCATAACCCAAGACTCTAGTCACTTTTCTCCCATCCCTTGCCTCCCAAGTCTCCTTTTAGTGTCCCTATAATTTCACTCAATTCAACCAATGTCCCAAATAGAAAGTATCCCATAATGCCAAGTATTGCAGAATTGAGTGTCCTTAGTATAGAAGAGCAGACATGTGCATACACATAAGTCAAAGTCATGTGCTCATAAATCCAAGAACCACCTGATATGAGGTGGTTATTGTGAGTGAAACAGGTGATTCTGGGGAAGGAGGGGTCAGGACTTGAGGACAAGAGTCTAGAGAATAATCCCAGATGGGATCTACTGGTAGCAGAGCTGGAAGGCTGGGCAGCCTTGTAAAGTCAAAGGGCCTTGTAAGTCAACCTAACAGAGTCTAAGACTGGTTGGCATCCAGAGAATGCACTGGAACCCAGATTTGATGCCTGGACTTTGACAACGTTCAGAGAAGCAACTCACTTGTCCTTCCTGGAGGATATTTCTGAGCAGTGGCAGGTGCTCTGGAGTAAGATCCCGAAGTGATCTGATGCCCCGGCGATGGCAGATGGCAATCAAATACAGGTCATCAAGCTGTGTGGAGACGGAGGTGGAAATAGAGAGGAATGCCCAGCTCAGCAGGGGGTAGCACCAGGAAGGCTGCCAGCCTCCAAACTCTCACCCCAAAGGCCTGCAACACACCCACAACCAACCCTGGACATTGTAATGTGTCCAAGGTGAGCAGGACTGTCTTAGGAACAGGACTTCTATGCACTTCCTGAAAAAGAACATCACATGAAACCTGCTGTGGTGTTATGTTGCCTATAATCCTAGCACTTGGGAGGCTGAGGCAGGAGGCCAGCCTGGGCTACATGGTGCAACTGTCTTAAAAAAAAAATCTAAAAACAAAACAGATAAAAACACCGTATAAGAGCATATACCTACTTTACAGAGCTGAAAGGGGAAAGGGCATGGGGAGGTTCAAGAAAGAGCCCAGAACAAGTCTTTCTCTCCAACAGCTTACAGTACAATCCATGTTCCCCGTATGTAAGTCCCCCTACTGTAACAAATAAAGTTTAACAGTTTTTTTTTTCTTTTTCTCTCTTTTTTTGGTATTGGGGGTGGAACCAAGAGCTTTGTGCATGCTAAGTACACCCTCTACCACTGAACTATACCCCCTGAGACACAGTGATCAAAGTACAGGAGGAAGAAGGAAAATCCCTATTTAGATAGGGCTACCCAGGAAGGCCTCCTAGAGAAGGCAGGGGGGGATTTGGGTCTGAGGAAAGGACATTCAGAGAAAGAACAGTGGGAGTGAAGGCTCAGGCAAGACCAGACAGAGCACAGAACAGGGATGGAGGCAGTTCGATTTGTCTGGAGTAGAAGGCATATATAGGGGTGCTGGGGGATGTGAGGGAGGAAGGGAAGCCTGGGGCCCACTCAGCAATGAGCACCACCACAGTTAGCCTGTTTCTCTCTTCCCCTATTGCAACTGTTCATGAACAGTCTTTCCTGTAGTCCTTCCTGAAAACAGCACCTGGCTGAAAACCTGGCGGTCACAACAAAGCAAAGAACCAGTCAATAAGATCTTGTGCCAGAGAGCAAATGAACTGGTACTCTTGCCCAGAAACCTCACCCATACCCTCCCTGCTCCCCAAACCCTGGCCTTACCTAGTTATCACATCTATGTGCCAGGCAAGCCAAGGCTCAGAGGATAAGGCTTGGGAGAAACCCAGCAGTGCCCAGCCTTGTGGTCTAACTTGATGGATTTCTCATGGAGATAAGCTGGGGACCATGAGTCACCCAACTAAATCCCTAGGGGCCCAAACTTACTGAGAGGAAGGCTTCCATATGACTGCCTGATATCTAACTGTGTCACAGTCTCTTTGACCATAGTCATTCTTCCTGCCAGAGTTCTAAGCATCTGAACTGTGCCCCAGAGCTGCTGCACATGAGACCGTATGGCAGACCTGCACCTGAGAGGGCCTGTATTGCTCACAAATCCCTTCTGGACTCTTCTTTCATGGTCTATACCCAGGATATTTACCACTTCATTACCAAGGAGTCTGAAACCAGGAAACATAAAATGCATGACTTGGTGTATGCCTGTGAATGTGTGTATATTTTCAGCTGTACTATGTGTCACTGTCACGGGATACACAAATAATAGCAGCATTTGTCTTAGACGGTGTCTGCAACCAAATCCCAAACATGACATTAAATCATATCTTTCTGCTCTACTGGCATGGAATGAGGCACAGAGCCTGGTGCTGGGTGTCAGCTCACAGGCTGGGTAAAGGAGGGAGAAGAAACAATTCTTTGAGGTCAGACATGAACCAACATTTTCTACAGGTAGCCAAAGGGCCTCCTGGCCTGATAACATCTTAACAAGGACAAGTGAGGGTCTGAGACTGGTACCCTAGAAGGTGGCCCACCAATCACTCTGGTGAGATAGTCAGACACTGCCAGTCTCTTGACAAAGGGCAAGACTGAGAATGGCTGGAGCATTAGACCTCTGGAGTTCCTCAAAGGAAAGGCCTCCCTGGGTTGAGAACTTTAGACCAAAAAACTTAAACTATATGAACTGAAAATGTAAGTCTATGTATATACACACAGATATGGTGGAGTTCTGTTGTTGTTTTGTGAGGTTTTTTTGTACTGAGGTTTGAACTCAGAGCCTCATACTTGCTAGGCAGGCACTCCACCATTTGAGCCACATCCCCAGCCCCACACAGATATGATTTTATACAAATATACAAAGATCAAAGATGATCCCTGGAAGTAGATTTAAAAAAAAAAAAAAAACAGCAATAATGATTGTTTCTAGGGAAGAGAAGAGGAAGAATGTGGGGTGAGGGAACTTACTTTTACTGCATATTCTCTGTACTGTGTATCTTTTTACCATGGGCACATATTAACAAACAAAATGAATACAAAAGAACATTCAGGTGATCTTTTCAGAGAACTGAGGAAGGAAACTGGGTGTGAGGGTGCATATCTGTAATCCAGCATTTGAGAGGTTAAGGCAGGAGGACTGTGAGCTCCAGTCCAGCCTGGGCTACTGGGCAAGACCCTGTCTAAAAGAAAAGAAAAAGAAAAAAAAAGGACAGACGAAGGGATGTTTTAACCCCCTCTGGGAAGGCATAATCTCTAGCAACATTAGGCACTTGATGCATATTTGTTGAATTGGTCTAAGGAACAAATGGATAAACACAGGACCATGAGCTTGGGGATAATATGTACTTCAGGGGGTTGCGGGTAGAGTCTAGCAAGTGACAGGCCCTGGTTCCATCCCCAGGGGGAGAAGGGAAGAAGGAAGGAGAGAAAAGAAAAAAGAAAAGATAAAAGAAAAATAATATGTTTCCAGGGAAAGTGGCAAGAAGAGACTCAAGGGTACCAGGACAGCTCCTCAAAGCCTACACTGGTGTCCCTCCTTCTCCTCAATCCTTCCCTTGTCTCTGGCCCCAGGCCAGGATAGAAGCCCAGACATGGCCTGTCTTTCTGCAGAGTATGTTGCCAACTTCTAAGGGAACAAATGAATTCAGTGCTGTCACAAGTCAGAGATTTGAGGCACTGAAATACGGCACCACTAAAAGACAAGAAAGACTTAAGTAAAGGTCAAGAAGAACCGCACCTTAGTCACTATTAAGCAAAGTCTAACACTTAGGCTGGCCCCTTCACAATCCCTGTGGGCAAGGAGCTCTAGCCACTTGGGTGGGGTTCAGAGCGGCTCCTAAACATTTGCTGTCTTAAAAGAGGACAGAGAGTGGGCAGCCTCAATGGCAGGTCAGGCAGATGCCTGCCAGCCCTGGGTCAGAAGGCAGATGGATTTCCATTCCCAATGCCATGGACTCAAATGCATTCAGGGATTCTGGAAGGGAGATGTGTAAGTCCCTCTTTATTGTCCCTTTGTGATCCTCAGGCTGCAATCTCCCTGCACTCACAAGTTCTTTGTCCTCAAGAGTCTTATGAGGCAGAAGTTCTTCCTACCCATTGTGTACATCCCATGACCAGACTTTAACTCTGGATTTTAAGGTACAGGGCTGCCTGAGGGAACAGGTGAGGCTCTGAAAAAGCCACCACATGGCCACAATTCCCAGGCTTTATCTCAGCCAGTCCCAGTTTTAAATCCTTGCAGGCCTGAAGATGGCCCAGTCAAGGACAAGCTGGAGGGCAATGGAAGAATGGACACAGGTGTGCCCTTAGTTTCTCTTATGTGCAGAGCCATTTTTTTTTATCTCACCTGACTTTGCTAAATCATCACTCCAGGCTGCAGCTTCTGGAAATTCCCTTCCAACTTCCTACGATGCATTGAGTCACATTCGGGAGCACCCATGAACCTCTTGTTAAGAGACAAATGATGCTCACTAGCTTGTGTATCTCTGAGTCCAAATACTGCCCCTCTATCCCAACCACATACCCTTGGTCCCCTTTTGGAGGAGTGGCATGGCAGTTGTGGAAATCACCAAATCAAAACTAAGCAAACTTTAGGTGAGCTCAGTGTAGACCCTAAGGCCTAAAGGATAGGCCACAACTGAGAAAGCAAAAGAGAAGGTATAAATGGAGAAGCCACCTAGGGCTTGAGCTCTAGAACATCTCTGCAGAAGCCTGGTAACCATGTGAGGGAATAGCTAAGGCAGAATGCAGATTCCAGCCTGGATTACTCCAAGAGTGAAATGGAGAGGGAATGCAGTCTACTCTGGACTCTTCAGTGTCTGCCTTTCTGGCCCCTTCCCAGCTCCAGCCTGTGACCAGCACCTGCAACACAGTGGCTCTACTTGTTCATGATCCTGTTAGGGTATAAGTGTTTCTGATACTTTCAGGGCATTAAACAGGTGACAGTAACTTTGTGGTGGGCTGGCATAGGACAGACTCACAAGTACATATGGAGCCTCTAAACCTCTTTCTTCAAAGGTTCGTACAAAGAGCTGGGAGTGTGGCTCAAGTGGTGGAAACAAAGTTCTTGGAGGTCAGAAAACAGAGAGCTAACAGGTTGCAGCAAACTGAGGTCCAGACTACTGAAAGACTACTCTGCACCTCAGGCTGGGAAGGACTCCTTGGTTTGGTTGCCATGGTTCCTGCCTGCCACTGCTTTAGAAACTAGGTTTGCCTGGATCTGCTGGTGTTGAGGGATGGAGAAAATGTAAACACTCCACCTTGGGGCTCCAGGTGCTGCTGGCAGTGAAGCTGGCAGCCCAAGCCACTTGGCTGACTAAGGAATGGCCTGTGTAGTCATGGAGGCAAACACCACCCTATGTCATCTCAGGTAAGAGCAGAGCAGAAAGTGCTTGAAGCTAATTCATAAAAGCAAAAGCAGTTGTGTATGACAGATAAGCAATCCATCACCAGGGAGAGCTCAGGCCACTTTTTGCTGAGTAACTGTAATGTGCTCAGAGAGGCCAAGTGGGGAAGGGCAGCAAAGGTCAGCGATGTGGGGGCAGGGTGCTCAGAGACCAGGGTGCTCAGAGACCAGAGTGTTCCAGCATGCAGCCTTTACCTGCTGGTGGTTCCACTTGAGATCTGGGATGAGGACAAAGCCATCAGAGGGATCCGGGTTCTCAAAAACAATCCGGTCAGCTTCAGCCTTCTTGTCGAGAATGTTATACACCCACTGGAAGGAGAAGGAGAGAGATGGTTCTCAAATCCACTCACCCCGTCTGGGGTAGGTCAGCTGTCTGGCCCTTTTAGGGAAGACACCCAACTATAACAAGCCACTAAAGGGCTGGTGGAGTGGCTCAAGTGGTAGCATGCCTGCCTAGCAAGCATGAGGTCCTCCTGAGTTCAAACTCCAGTACAACAAAAATAAATAAAGGTCACTAAATTCAAGGTCACTAGTCAGGCTGGCTGTCCCCAGGCATCTGTTTGGGAGTCCAGAAGATATTTCCCCTCTCCAACCACAACTGACTTTTGGCCACCATGGTCATCACAGGGGCACAGGGGCCTTTGCAGCTTGGTAGGGGCTGGACCCTATGATTCTTCCTAGTTGTATAATACACACACTCTGCTGTGCACTCACTCATAGGCCTGGTCTGCACTGATGACCGCCCCCTCCACCTCTCTGCCCACAGGAGGAAGAACTATCTCCACGACTTGAGTTCTGTTCATTTGGGACTGTGGGGCAAAAACACAGGTTAGGAGGCCAAGAGAACATAAGTTTCCTTCTGCAAAGGGAGCCGGCTACCAACCAGGGCAGTGAAAGCCTTTGGCGAACAAGTATGGGAGAATTCCCACCCTGCTGGGATTCTCCTTAGTCATGGCTAAGTGCCCACCTGGAGCTGCTGCAGATGCCATGTTTTAGCAGCCCCAGCTGACACGCCACGAATGGCAAAGCAGAACCAAAACACATATGGACAGACCTCAATGAGACTCTTATGTCAACCCAAGGTTTCTGGTCCTCATGCCATCTGCTGACTAGCTGCTATTGCCTCTTTAGAGGACCCTTCCTTGGCCCTACATGGACCCCAAGGACATGACTTTATAGTTATGGTCTTCAGGGCTTTTGTGAGGAAGACAGGCTGCAGGGAGGTTAAGCTGAGAAGACCACACTTGTAGAGCTGAAAGCTGGGCACCTCAGGCCCTCCTCTCCTTCCCACTAGCTCAGAGAGCCCTCTGCATCCATGAATACCCTACATGCAAAAAGATAAAGTTTCTGGCAAATAAGGCAGGATGGGGGCTGGGGCCATGGTGCCACCCCTTCCTCCTTGCAGTCACATGGACCTCCAGGTTCACTGATGGGGGAAGGTAGGGAACTGATACTCCTAGAAGTACTGACATAAGCAATGTCCCTGAAGGCCAAGCGTAATGGGGGCTGACCTAGGGTTTGCATATTGCACACCCTGAACCTGAGCTCCCAGCTGGAATGGAAACCAGAGAGCAGAAAGCATCTGCCTGAAGGTATGTGGGCTTCTGGGGCTGCTGCAATTACACACAGGAGGCATTTCAGCTTAGAGGGCCTCCAGACCCTGTGACTCGATTCATAGGCTGGTCACAATTTGGTTTGCCCACCACAAAAGAAGGGTCTTCCCAGGAAGAGCCTGAATGAGCCACTTCCTACAAGGTGTCTTGGAGGACACTTGGCAGTGGCTTCTTTACACAGTGCACATGCCAGAAACAACCTGTGGGCTGAGATTCTTCCAGAGGCATTTCCTCTCCCACCAGACACCTTTGGAAATGTGCTGCTGGAAAGAAAAGCTTCCCAGAAACAAATGGGAAAGAGGGAGATGGCAACTTCCGGTTATGGAGAGTCTCCTACTAGAGAGCAGTGACTGGTGTCAAAAGAGTGTGAATGGGCTCTGGAGTGATGGCATTGGTTTCATCTCCCAATTTCACCAATGACTTGCTGGCACCTTAGGCAAGCAACTGAATCCTCCTTCATAAAACTGTTTAATACAATCTGCACTAAAAACGTGCACATGAAAACACCTAGCCCAGAGTCCACACAAAAAAGGAGATGTCCAAGGAACAGACCACAATGGAACTGTTTGCTGGAGGCTACAAGATCAAGTCAGGTAGAAAGAAAGAGAAAGCAGTGAAAGCAAAGACAGTGCCTAGAGAAGAATTAAGTATGAGGCCAAAGGCTGAGTGCCCAGTGGGCGGGTGTGAGGATATCAAGACCAACCATTCTCTTCCATTGCTCTAAGGGCCACAACAACCCATTACTATTGTCCCCATTTTGCAGGTAAGGAAAATACAGGAATGAGGAAGTTCACACAGCTCACACAATTCTAACCCTGGGGGTAGGATTCCTGAGCCTGCGCTCCGGCCCACAGCACATCCTGCCTCCTGGGAGAGGCTCTGGTGAGAGGCAGGAACCTGCATCCACAGGAAGTCTTATGGCTAGAAGCCCAGAGAAGAAAGGGAGGGGAAAATGGAACAAAATTCACACAAGGTTAGAGAATGGGAGAGGCACCATCTGAAAGCCAGCCCCACTGGTAATAGGGCTATGAGTGATGCTTTCTAGAATCCATCTGGCTGGACTGTGCAGTAGTTGACACTGCCAAATTCCTTTAGAACCCCTTTCCCTCCTGGACCTCCTGTGGACATCTGGATGCTTCTTCATTCTCTTCCTGTTCTCCATTCTGCTCATCTACCTTGCCCTTCTCCTCTGCCGTGCTCAACCTGCCCACATCTCCCAGGTGTCTCTGCTCTCCATTTCTCTCACTTGTTCCCCTGTTCTACCTGTGTGGATAAATGGCAGCTCCACTCTGGAACACTTTGTGCTGAAAATAATGAGGCACATGATAAATGGCACCCCTCTCAATTTCCACAACTGCAGGAGGGAGGAGCTGTTAGTCACATTTTTCCAGACCAGAAAACAGGGGCTCAAGAGGTAAGGACAATGCCACTGTCCCTGGACAACAGATGAGAATCCAACACCTACTGATGCTGAAACCTCATGTGACAGCTCATGAACGAACATCTTAGCAGGATAACCTAGAAGGCTTCAGATGCAGACACCCCACTGTATTTTTTTTAGCTTCCCTAAAAGGAAGTTACGAGCACCTCAAATGTGAGGAAGCAAACAGTACACAGATACTAGGGCTCCAAGAGGCCTGTTGTGAGTAATAATTGAGGCGATACACGCAAAATGCCTAGAACAGTTCCTGACCTAAGAGGTGCTCAATAAACCCCAAACTGAACTCAGACTTCCACAAAAACCCACTCTGCTGTCCACATCCTGTTCTGGTTAATAAATGCTCTTACTGTCCACCCTTCACTCAAGCTGGACCCTGGGTCATCTCATACTTTCCTCTCTCCTATCAACCAGTTTCTGAGTCCATCCAGCCCCATTAAGGCTTACCTCTGAAGTTGCTACCCAAGGCTTCCCTGCTGTATCTACCTCAGTTCAGATCCATGCTAGGATTTAGTCCTCCTGCTCCAACCTGCCCCTCAGTGAAGGAATCCTCACTGCTTATGGCAATCATTCTCAGATCTAACGATTGTGAGAAATATTGAGATTTTTTGCTTTATTTATTTATTTTGTGATACTGGAGTTTTGGGGGCTTTGTGCTTTCTGGGCAGGTGCTTGAGCCATGCCCCCAGTCTTAAGAGATTTTTAAAACCAACTCTACTCCTTGAAGAGTCAGACTGAGTAGATATGGAACAGTCTCATGTGCTGTTATTTTTAAGAATCTCCCCTGGCAGTCCTGATGATCAGGAGGGTTTAGAAATTCTTGACCTCTTAGACAGAGTCCACAGGCCTCCTCCTAGTCCCCACTCAGCTGAGAGCAGTCCCCTCTACCCAGGCCCCAGTCACACCAAACACTTTGCAGCAACCCTGGTGCATCAGATGATTCCTCTACCTGGGAAACTTCTATTGTCCTATAAGAACCAACGGGAGGACTCCCTCCCTGTGAAGGCCCCTCTGTGCCCTAGTCCCTCTCATTTTGCATCACCACTACAGCAAGCTACAGAGAGAGATTTGTCTCATTATCACAATTGTCTGTCTGCACATCTATCTTCCCTGCTGGACTATAAGAGCATTAGAAAGATTTTATTATGACCTGGATGTCTCCCCAGAGCCTAGCACAGGGCCTGCTACACAGCTGATGCCCAAGAAATACACAGACTGTTGCCAGTAAAGTTATGTGCTTGTATACTTGCTGGAAATAGCCAAGAAGGAATGCATGGATGTGCCGCTCAATCAGGAGCTGAAGGGTAGTAGAGTTTTTGTTGTATTATTTTCTAAGTGGAACAGTGTAATGGTGTATAATAGGATATCTATGTGATTTACATCAACTGTATTTTAAGACTTCCTCTCTTGAATCCCAGATATGTGCAACCAGCACCAACGAGAACATGTTCTGGAAGGTCCCTATAGGACCCTGAACAGAAACTATCTAGGAATGTAGCAACTCACTTCCTTTCCACTCAAAAGATAGAACAAGTGCTGGGACTTTTAAAGAAAGGAAGAAAGTCGAGCCAGCTTGAGCAGAAGGAACCTTGTACAAATGCATGAGGGAGGCCATGGCTCATAACAGAGTTGGGTCCTTCCCACAGGGAAGGGGGCTATCAGAACATGTGCTTCCCACAGGCCCTGCCAGCTCTCCTCTCCTTACTTCTCCCTTGTGTAAGCAACAGGGCGGTGCCCTCACACCTGGCACCTGCCGTTCTTCTGAGCCAGGATATGATGGGCTGTGAGCTTCCCACATTGTAATACTCCCTACCACATACCCTAAAGCTTGGGAGAATAGTGAGAAATGCTTAGGGAAAACAAGTGAGCGATAATGAGAAAGAGCCAGTGAGTGGGCAAGGAAATGACTCCTCAATATACATCAATCATATTTAACTGTGAGTATGCACATGGGGCCAATTTCAGGCAGAGGCTCTGGTTGGCCCTGAGCCTCGGCCCAAGGAGCCTTGCATCTGGCCCAGCCAGAACACTCTGCCACCTTGCAGACAGAGGCCTGTACCAAAGCAACAACAGGATGCTATTTTCTGCAGAATGAATGCAAGGATGGACAAATGCTGGGGAATTTTTTACTCTGAGATTCAACTCCTGCAGGTTGGTTTGCTATAGGTAAGACCAAGAATAAGAGGCTTGTTCAAGGAGGACTAACCCAACACTACTCTTTACCCATCACAGACCTTTCGCCAGGGTATAGTCTCTTGTATCAGGCTCTTGTAGAAAGAAACTCTTCCAACAGACTGGACTGCTCAGATTCCCAGAAAGCCTCAGTGGCATGCTCAGCCACTTCTGCCCAAGACCACAAAGCCTACTCTGGCCGTCCCATATAAAACATCAACCAATCCAACCCAGGACTCTCCCACTGATCCTGCTCATTTTTCTCCACTGCCAACATAATCTTACATATCATACAGGTCCTTAGATATTTGTGTACTGACTTCACACAGGATGTAAGCTACAAGGGCAGGGATTTGATATGCTATGCCCTCTGCTGTATCCACAGAGCCTGGCCCCCAGGAAGACCCCACCAGACGCATGGGAATGGCACCCCATGTCCAAAGCTCAGTGGCCAGTCACCTGGATGCTGAGGCTCTGGGACTCCAGGTGGGGTAAGGTGATGTTTTTGTAGTCATCTCCTGTCTCTCGGATCAGGTGGAGGTCCTGGCGCAGGTACTTCTGCAGGTGTCTCTCTGTGGCAGGGTACACCACGGTTGTCTTTATGTCTGCAATGATACAACACACAGTCTGCAACTAGAAAGCAAAGTCCATTAAATTCATGAGCTGAGCCCCATTCTGAACCTGTAAACATAAGGCTTCCAATGATGGATTCCTGGGCTCCTCATCAAACTAACTGTAGTCCTTCTCCTTCCACATTTCAGGCACAGGAACCAAGGTCCTAACTCTTCTCACAAGCAAATTTCTAGGTATGTGGCTTCTAGAACTCAAAGCTAAAAACGTGGTTTAAAGGCCAGTAGCCTCCTAAAGGTGGGGCAGCATGACACAGCACAATGGTTCATTGTGGGCTCCGGAGTCAGACTGTCTGAATTCAAGTACTAGCTCTGCCTGCTAGCTGTGAAAATTGGTCCAGTTATTTAACCTCTGGGTGCCCTAACTTTCCCCATCTGCCAAATGAGTATAGTAACAGCTCCTATGTCACAACACCAGGAAGATTAAGTGAGTTAATTACCTGTGAAGCACTTAGAACAATGTCTGGCACAAGTAAATACTGCATAAGTGCTGGCTGTGTATAATCCAGGGTTTCTCAATCTCAACACTTTGACCTGGATCACCCTCTGCTGGGGGGCTATCCTACACATCGCAGCACTTCTACTTCACCAGCAGCCCTAGCCTCCACTTTGACGCTAGTAGAACCTTCCCCCAGTTGTGACAACCAATATGTCTCCACACATTTCTAAAATGTCCCCTTGGAGGCAAAATTGTCCCCAATAGAGAAAAGCAGTTTTAACCAGAAGGAAATTCTGTACAGACTCCAGGTTAGTGCTCAAATCAACATTATCCCAGCTGCTGTGGTTAAGTCCTTTCCCCTATTATCTGGTGCACCCCTTGTCACTACTCTTGACATTTATCTAGTGCTTCAACACAGATCTTCAGGGCACGGAGGAGAATGGTCAAACTGGTATTTCAAAACCAGTTGGGATGTTTCTCAAAAGATCCACAGGACCTCTTGGTCCTCTCCATGAGATTCAGATATGCTCCAAAGAGAGGCCAGTCCAGAGACTCCTACTCCATGCCTTAAGAATTCCCTAAGATCCACCAGTGTAAACTTTCAGATTTGGCCTGACCTCCGATGCACACCAACTATCCTTCTCTGTCAGCACTGGGGGCAAGGCAGCATGGTAGGAAGACTTGGGCTCTGGACTGGAGTGCCACTGACTCTCCCTTACTCCTGGCTGACCCTGGGCATGTGATCTCTTAAGAGTCTATTTCTCACCTGTTAAAGGGTGGTCACAAAGAGCTGCCTCAACATTAATGCTAATGTTGTTACCATTCAATGAAACACATCACCTGGATCACCAGAGGCACTAAATAAATGTCATCCCAATTCCTGAGAATCTAGGGTCTGACCTTGAAAACAAGGCCCAGTGGCCTCCTCACAACCCTCTGAGCAGCAGCATGAAACTGATTTTTGCTTTTTATTCTTTATTGTTTTCTAATAACCAGTGCTGAGAAAAAAGCCAAGCACACTGAGATCTCAAGAGGCAGGAGACAGCCTGAAACTGAAGGGCACCACAGGGAACTTCCGCTAGCCTTGAGGAAAAGGCCAGGCTATCTACACTGGACCTTGGAGGGTGAAAGCAGAGGTTTGGGAACACATCAGTCTGGATGCCAATCCTGGCTCTGCACTTACTAGCTGTGTGACCGAGGGCAAGTGTCCAACCTTCTCTGTTGCTTCATTCTGCCTGTATGACCTGAGGATAATAACAGCAGGATTGGAGTGAGAATTAGACAAGTTATTAGGTGGAAGCCATTTAGAAAGGGCCTCACACAGAAAATCACTACACCGATACTAGCTTTTATTCTATTGTTTTTGTTGTGCCTTTGACTGCCTGGGCTGGGAGGGGAGAGATGAACTAGGGCAGTGGAACTCCCTCGGAGTGGGGGAGACGTCTGGGAACAAAGGCAGACTTGATGCTGGAGGACAGCCTAACTCTCTGCTGGCAATGGATATGTAGCCTTGGGCTCACAGCCTGGGGCTCCTGGCTGTTCCAGGACCCTGAGAGCAAGCCCTTGTCTGCTCAGGCTTGTCAAGGACCTGGCCCTGCCACCCAGGGTGTGGGGAAAACAGGAATCTTGCCAAGCCAGCCCTTTCCTGCCCTTCACCCAAGACGGCAAGGAAAAAACCCAGAGACCTTGGTTTCCCAAATGCTCACTTCTTGCCATCCTTCCTCCACAGTGGCTCTCAGAGTCCTGCCTCACACCCCCCAATGGCTAGGAAGACAGCTTCTCTCAGACCACCCCAGGAAGCTCTGCATGCTGGTATCAGGGCTGGGGGCTCCCTGCCATGGTCTATAAGGCCCCTGTCGCTTCACTGCTTCTTGCTGCCTCTGCTACAGTCACACTGAGCCCTCACTGTCCCACTTTTCATCCAGTATGCGCCCCTCTCCAGTCCTTGCACAGCAGCTCTCAATGCCAGGCAAATCCTCCTATCAAGCCGTGTGCCAGTCAGTAAACCTAGTTACTCAGGAGACAGAGATCAGGAGGATCGAGGTTTGAAGCCAGCTCGGGCAAATAGTTCGAGAGACCCTATTTTGAAAAGACCCATCACAAAAACAGGGCTGGTGGAGTGGCTCAAGGTATAGGCCCTGAGTTCAAACCCCTTAACTGCAAAAAAAAGCCACCTATTTGCTCCCTTGTCTCACTCAGGACTCAGGTCTAACGCCAATTCATACAGCCCTGGCTAAAGCGACTCTCAATTCCCCAGCACTCCATCTTGGTCCCCACCTTGTTTTTCTTCTTCTATTACTACCTGGCAATGCAGTACAGGTTTACTGTTTGACTCTCCCATGAGTAACTCCCAGGAAGAAAGGGACCCTGTTTATTTCTTTTTAGCATTTATCTCCAGCATCTGGAATATAGTAAGTGCTCAATACTGGGCAAAACAAATAAATGAACCTGCCCTTTCCAGGCTTTAAACCGTGGAAGAGCATTCCAAATGGAATAAAATCGCTTTGATAAAAATCAATATATTTCCCAATGCTGTTACCTACTGGCAGCCCCAAAATGAACTCTGATGTTTACCTAACTGATAACAAAGACTCATTTACAGCTTTAGGACTTTGGTAAAACATCAATGGTAGATAAACACACAAACCATCCATTTAAAATATGCTGAGGGATGAGATATACATGCACAAGCTCAAAAATATCTCCCCACAGCTTACTCAATTAAAAAGGGCAAATAATACTGCCTCTCTCAAGTGAAGGGAGTTAACACCACTCCTGCTGTGAACTCTGAATCTAATCACAGATCAGCAATCCCAAATCCAGGGGCATTCAACAAAATGAGTGCTTTATAACTCCTCAAAGATACCAAAGTTAGCTGGTTGCAGGGGAGGTGCCAGCATTCACAGAATTGCAGAGGCTAAGACAGGAGGATCATTTGAGCCCAGAAGCTTGAGGCCAGCCTGGGCAACACAGGGAGAACCCATCTCAAAAAAAACCAAAAAGCCAGGTGCAGTGGCCCACATCTGTCACCCCAACTATGGTTAGATATAATAGGAGGATCATGGTCCAGACCAGCCTGGGCAAAAATGAGATCCTATCTGAAAAACAACTAAAGCAAAAAGGGCTGGAGGCATGGCTCAAGAAATAGTACCTGCTGAGCAAACATGAGGACCTGAGTTCAAACCCCAGCACTGCAAAAAAAAAAAAAAAAAAAAAAAGTCAAATGTCAAAGTAAGGAAAGACAAAGAAAGGCTAAGGAGTCACTCCAGATTTTGAAACTAAACAGACGTGAATAATGGGATTCGATGAGATCCTGGATCCAGGAAGGGGAGTCCTGTTTTAAAGTGGCACTGAAACAGCTAGCACAACTTAATAATGGACTCCTCTCTACATAGCAGTTTTGTATAAATGAGAAATTTCCTGAGGTTGACAACTTCCTGAAATCATTATGTTTACCCCTTTTTATACTTATATCCATAATAATATTATATGTGTACGTGGAAAGAGAAAAAGCAAGTGGGGTAAAATGTTAACAACAGGTAAAGGAGTTTTATGAGGGAGCTCTTTGTACTATTCCCACAACTTTCATACAGGATTCAAAAATTTTCAGAATAAAAAGCTAAATAAACCTGTCAATACATTGGGAACCTTAGCTCAAATTGCTAACGGATGCACTAGACACTATTCTAAGCCTAATACGTACATTAGTTCATTTATTTTTCACAGCCAAAGTGACTGAGTATTATGATGATCCCATTTTGCACTGGAAATTGAGGCACAGAGCCCCAGGTGGCCCCTGAGGTCCCACAGCACCCCAGTAAACCAGCCAACCTACCTGGGTTCTCTCTCTGCCATCTGGCGACTAGTAGGTTGACTTGGAGTCACCTGCTCAGCAGGAGCAGCATCTGGCAACTCCCCTACCCAAAACATTTCCCCTCTGGCTTGAGAAGCAACAAGGAATCCCCAACCAAACCCTCCTGCTGGCACCCTTAAAAGAACAGCTCAATTTTGAACCCCCAAAACTCACCTCTGGAAAATGTTCACAATATAGTAGGGGAAATTTCCTAGTACTTCTCACAAGGCCCTCCTAACCTATCCTGCTTTTTAAATTTTTCTTTGCATTTTAATTCAAGTTGCATTTGCCCAGAAGTTAGAGACAAATGCAGCTTTACTGCCAGCTCCTCCCTGCTCTCCCACATGTTCACCACCTCTAGCCATCTCTTTGGTTATGATCCTCCAAAGTCCTAAATTCTGTTTTTATATCTCATTCCCCCTTGACTTTCCAGTTTTACTGACTACCCATTATAGAAGACAAGGATTTCTCTTTTTCACTGACAATACATAACCCCCATCTTCACTCTATTCACACAATTCTGGATACATCAGTGTCCAGTGCTGATACTATTATGAAGACTAAATATTGTTCACTGATGAATACTTATACTATCATTATTTCTCCTTTTCAGCACAATCTTTGGTGTACAGAATGAGTAATTACCTTTTTTTTGCCTGCTTTTCTAACAAATTGAATGATTCA